GCCAACGTTGAGCAGAGAACACCTTGCCTCTCTGGTTAACCCACATTATTTGTTAAAAGTTAGGAAAGCTAACACCTCACTTTCCTCCTTTTCTCAAACCTACCTTGCCAAACTTAAGTTATTTGCCTCAAATGTCTGGTATTCAACATCTAAACTTGACATTTGTGTTCTATTTAAGTGCCTGATAGACAATTAACAAAGCTTGAAGCACTTGTTATTGTTGGTTATAAACTTTTACAGGAAATTGATTGTTCACAATTAAGTGTACTGTAGTGATTTTGTCTGATTATGTAAAATAAATTATCGCATTTATTTATGAATCAAATCAAAATTCACTGACCAAGAGTCACTTTTGTGTCCATTCACTTTGCACAGGAAGAAAATTTTACCGAAAATAAAATGATCCTAGCTAAAATGAAATCCTTATAACCTTGTTATAAGAGGTGTAGGTATGAATCCTACAGCGTCCACATCACTTCAGATGCAGCACAATCCCCCATTGATCTCCCGCTTCATTCTTCCCTCACTTGTGAACAAGACCCCGAGATACCTGAACTCCTCCAGTTGGTGCAGGACCTCTTCCCCAACCCAGAGAAAGCACCCTACCCTTTTCCGGCTCAAGACCATGGTCTCAGATTTGGAGGCACTGATCCTCATGCTGGCCGCTTCACACTCGGCTATGAACAGCTCCAGTGAGAGCTGTAGATCACGATTTGATGAAGCCAATAGGACCACATCATCTGCAAAAAGCAGAGGTTTTTAGAGGTCTAAGGTCACCAAAACGGATCCCCTCAACACCTTGGTTGTGCCTAGAAATTCTGTCCATAAAAGTTATGAACAGAATCGGTGACAAAGGGCAACCTTGGCAGAGTCAAACTCTCACTGGAAACGAGTCTGACTTACTACCGGCAATGCAGACCAAACTCTGACACCTGTCATACAGGGACCTTACAGCCCGTATAAAAAGGCTTGATACCCCATACTCCAGGAGTACCCCCCATAGGACTCCCTAAGGAACACGGTCACCTTCTCCAAATTCGCAGAACACATGTAGACTGGTTGGAAAAACTCGCATGAACCCTCCAGGACCCTGCTGAGGGTGTAGAGCTGGTCCAGTGTTCCATGATCAGGACGAAAACCCCATTGTTCTTCCTGAATTTGAGATTCAACTATCTGACAGACCCTCCTCTCCAGGACCCCTGAATAGACCTTACCAGGGAGGCTAAGAAGTGTGATGCCCCTATAGATGGATTACATTCTGCTGCCCCCATTTTTAAAAGGGGAACCACCACCCTGATCTGCCAATTCAGGGGAATTGCCCCCGATGTCCAAGCATTATTGTAGAGTTGTGTCATCCAACACAACCCCACAACATCCAGAGCCTTTAGGAACTCTGGGCAAATCTCATTCTCCCCAGGCGCCTTGCCACCAAGGAGTGGCGGCAATCGAGGATTGCCGCCACGACAGACACAAACAACCTTGTGGCCACAGCTCAGTTAAGCCACCTTGACAATGGAGGCACAGAACATGGCTCACTTGGACTCAATGTCCACAACCTCCGGTGGAATGTATTCAATGTTCTCCCAGAGGTGTGAGTTGAAGCTCAGTCTGACAGGAGACTATGCCAGACATTCCCAGCAGACCCTCACTATACGTTTAGGTCTGCCAGGTCTGACTGGCATCTTCCCCCACCATCAAAGACAACTCACCACCATGTAGTGGTCAGTTGACAGCTCCACCCATCTTTCCACCCAAGTGTCCAAGACATGCGGCTGCAGATCAGATGAGACAACAACAAAGTCAATTATCAAACTGCAGCTTAGGATGTCCTGGTGCCAAGAGCACATATGGACACCCTTATGTTTGAAAATGTTGTTCGTTATGGACAATCCATGATGAGCACAGAAGTCCAATAGCAAAACACCGCTTGGGTTCAGATTGCGGGGAAGGGGGGGGGGGCATTGCAACCATGCCCCTCAAGGTCTCACTGTCACTGTGATATTTAGAAGGTGTGGAATTTATCGATGGGAAAATTTTTTGAAAAACTCAAGTGGAAAGCTATCTAGCCCTGGACTCTGGCGT